GGGCCCAGCCAATGGGAGCGCGCAGCGTCCCCCCGCGGGCCGTGACGGACGGGCCGGAGCGCGGGGCGGGGCGGGGGCCGGGCCGGCGCTGGAGCTCCTCATTGGGGCGGTGGGACACCGTGTCCCGCTGCCCGCGGCTCCCCCCGRGAAGGCGTTCCTTTCCAGCTCTCCKTGTCTRTGCTTGCGCGACGCYGCTTCGTCTTCCTGCTTCGCTGCCGGGGGAGGAGGCTTGGCTGAAGCGGGAGAGGAACGGAGCGCCAGCGTTTTTGGCGGAGACAGGTTGTGGTGCGACACCGCGCCCCTGGGGCAAGGGGAAAAAGCCGCCTCGTAGTGTTTTGTCGAGTCAGGTGGCAAATAAGAGTTGCCGCTTATTGAGGGTTGGAATTAGATGATCTTCAAGGTCCCCTTCCAACCCAAACCATTCTTTGATTCCTGAGTGGCTTTGTCGTTGTGGGGAGCTTACCCTTGTCTGGGGCCGGGCGCCCCCCAATGCCTCTCCATCACTGCCCCTCCTCAGCTGGACATGGGGACAAAATACGAGAGGCTCGTGGGTCGAGATAAGGAAAGAGCACTCACCAGTTACTTTCGTGGGTAAAACAGGCTCAATTTTGGGAAATTAATTTAATTTGTTACCAATGAGATTAAACTAGCATAATGAGAAATTAAAAATAAATCTTAAAACACCTCGTGCCCACACCTCCCTTCTTCCCGGGCTCAGCTTCACTCCTGATCTTTCTACCACCTCCTCTCTCAGCAGCACAGGAGTTTGGGGATGGGGTCCGTAGTCAGTTCATTACAAGTTCTCTCTGCCACTTTTCTCCTTTAACGTGGGGTTCCTCCCACGGGAGACATTCCTCCATAGATTTCTCCAGTGTGAGTCTTTCCCATGGGCTGCAGATCTACACAAACTGCTCCAGTGTAGGATCCCATCCATAGGGTGCAGTTCTTCAGGAACAGATTGTTCTAATGTAGATCCCCTGCAGGGTCACAGCAAACCTGCCAGCAAAGCTGCTCCAGCACAGGCTCCCCATGGGGTCACAGTCTCCTTTGGGCATATCCACCTTCTCCAGCGTGGGGTCCTGCAGGTGGATCTCTGCTTCACCATTAACTTCTATGGGTGCAGGGTCACCGTGCCTGCAGGGGAATCTGTTCACAGAAGCCAGCCCTATAGCCCACAGACTGCCAAAACTTGGCCACACAAACCCAATACAATGATGCCCAGAGCACATTTCCTGAAGGCCTAAGATGGGGTTTATCAACATCAGTAAGATTTGTATTTGAGCAAGGTAGCAAGAGCTGCGTTTAGGGAGCTTGCTGGCAGCTCTGGGAGAGCTTCAGGTGGGTGTRTGAGTGAGCACATCAGGCTCTGATGGAGGGCATGCTGGAGGCAGGCAAGTACTCCCTTCTCAAAGCAAAGCTTCAGCTCCAGTCTTGCAATTGCCACATTAATCTCTTTGGAACAAAACAGTTAATTCCCTTTCCTGACCGAAAAACTTGCCTTACTTTGTTGCCCCAGGATTCTGGGTAGTCYCTCAGTCATTAGGTTACTCTTATTAGGTCAGAGCTTTTTTTGTAGCTGTTATGTAGTATCATTTACAGACTCCTGGGAGAGTGCAGTCATGAGGCACGGATCTCGGGTCTCACCACGACATGTCTTCACTCAGTTAGCAGAGAAAGAATAGGCTCAATAACGAGCTTGGCTCTCCTGTCAGTACCATAATATATATTTTTATATTTACGCCTATAAAGCCATGGGTAATACAGTTAAATTAACCCAGCTCGGCATAAAAGGAATTTTGTGGGCAGCAAAGGTGGCTGTGATCATATGGTATCTTTACTGAGACGTGAGAGTGCTACTGTTCAGCAGGCTGTTCTCATACCTTCACCCAGTTGTTTCTATTTTTCATTGCCTCTCAGCTGAGCACTGAGATACAATCAGACTTCAGAAGAAAAGAAAAATATCTGTAATTAAAGCAAAGGAAAGAGATGCAAACCCAGAAATTCTTTCATTTGATAGCACTTTGCAAAACATTGGAAGCTCTAGTGACTCAAATATACCAGTATTTTTGTAGGCTCACTCATATCTTTCACTGTGCCAGTTGAAGAGTGCCAAGTGAATGAAGTTACTGAGCTATGTTTACCTTTCTCCTCAGTGGTGAAGAGGTCGACTACCATCTTGAGGCTGATTTTTTTTTGTGATGAGAAGAGGTCTGACTCCTCATTCAGCAGCTGTGCTGGCAGAAATTTATACTGAGGTATGGTCCAAATAAGGTCCTTGGAAGTTATTGAAACCTGATTTTTACATGTAATCACACAGAACTTTAAAAACATGGGGTTTTTTTTTGCAATCGAACCTGCTTCTTCACCACCTTATATTTTCAGTCATTGATCCTGCACCAATTTGATCTAGACTCCTATAAAGTCTAAACTGAGTTAGAAAAGTGTTTTTTTGTTTTTTTGGTTTTTTTTTAAGAGGGGGGCTAAGCATAGAGGAATGTGTGAAGTGTTTAATTCTCTACTTGGTGTGGTTCTTGAATTCAGATTTTTAACTCTTAATACAAGATGCAGCCTTACCTCTATAGTTGCATCTTTTTCTACACCTTTCTCATGGCTTAAGTGTTTTTTTTCGTTTTGGTTTTTTTTGTTTGTTTGTTTGTTTGTTTGTTTTTGTAGGTATAAATAATGCATTCTTTTTTTAAAAGATATATGAGAAAATAAACTTAGTACCAACATAATAAAAATACACTATAATCACTTTCTAAAAAATCAAGAGAAAGTAGAAAAAGGGTAGTCCTATTCATTAAAATATAGTATACTTATCCTTGTGTTACCTTGCCAAAACACTTGTACATAAAGTCTTTGTACAGACATGACCACTGTTATCTTATTAAACCTTTTACATTGCTTTTATACAGATGGTGCTTTTGCAGACAGATAAAATTCCTTGAGATTAGATTAAATCTCTGCCCACATTATGRACACTGATAGAGCTGGTATTAGTCATTTAGTGCCTCTACAAATTTTTATTTTTCCTTGTGTTAAGAATGGAGATACAAACCTCATTTGAGTGCATACAACCTCTACTTTTTACATTAAAATGCATTCAAGTAATGTCAGTCAAGTCTAAAATTGTCTATAAAAATAAATTCACTAGATACTTTTACGTTCCAAAAAGCTTTCTAGCAATCAGTGATTACACTGCAAACATGCCACAAAGGCGAACTGTTAACAAATGTGCCTTTGCTAGTGATAGAATGATTGCCAGCATTTAATTGGCTTTAAAGTTTTGTTCTGTCAATGGTGTATTGTATCTTAATGGCARTAATGCCAACCTTATGATGAAGKCATGAAACAGGATTTCAAAATATCRTACTGATTATGGCTGGAAGGAACTATTTTCTGAAGGAAAACTTCCTAGCCTACTTGTTGCTCTAGTATAGGTAGAGTTTGGTTTGGTTTGTACAACATATCAAAAAGAACAGTATAAAAATTCTCATTTGAGAATGACAAGGAGTAAATATGTAACTGGTACATGTCTGTTTCCATTGGTAGATCTTATGGTGCTTTATAAAAACAGTACAGATAGCTTTTTAAGAACTGACTTTTTAGCTGCCAATCCCCTGTAAGTCATTGTTGCTAGCCAAGCCTAGGTATACCTGGAGATCCTCCCACTCAATCCAATCAGTTCAGGCTTTTGACAGCTTCCTATACTGGACCTGTGAAATGAGCAGGATTAAAAAAATCTCTCACTGTTTATCTCCATCCTTGCATTACAGTTCATGGCACTCTTAACTATGCAGATAGAACTGTTGTTAACCTACAGTCTTTCAGTCATTTGTTTTACTGTCTGCCCAACAAATTCTTGCAGTGGCACACTCTCAGTCCTCACTCTGGAGAGGCTGAATGGGCCAGGCTTAAATCAGCTCCTAAACTACTGGGTGTTGGTAATGTGAAACCAAGTTCTTGTYCATGGGAAGACTGATGAGGTTCCCAGTTTTAGGCCATCAAAAATATTGAATATTTACTTATATAGTACCCAAATAATGCTTAATGACATAGTAAATCTAGACCTTTGTGTTTAACTGGCTGAGATTCATCTTCTTACCCTGTAAGAAGTAGGTGTAGATACTTAGGAGTACACAATCRTGATGTTGTACCACGGATGTTAAAACACAAGAATTTGTCAGAGGATTCATGATACAGAAAACAGCTAATATTCTGCATAAATAGGGAAGTAGTCTTCTAAATGTTGGTACATGGTGCCCTCTAAGTTACAGGGCATGTAAAGAAATGTAATCAAACATGTAAATAAACAGAAAAAAAGTAAAAAAGACTACTTCTTGCATTCTTAGCATTGAAAATATGGCCATCTTATTTTTATTTGAAGTTCTCAATAGAAGAGGAAAAAAACAAAGAATTTTTAAAAATCCACAACCATAAGAATACAAAACATTTATCGTATTTTTGTCAATTTCCCCTTTCCTGTATTTAAGGGTTTTTTTCCCCTTAATAATAAGGGATAATAATAAGGAACCTCTGAAAGTAAAGGAAAATATATGCACTGTGCCAAAATATGATAAGGGTATCTAGATTACCTTCAGAGCCTGCCCCTGACTTTGACTCCATTGAGATGAAATAATTACATTTGATCAGGGTTTNTTTTTTTTTTTTTTTTTTTTTGTTTAGTTTGCTTGTGGCTTTTGTTTTGTTTGTTTGTTTATGTTCTTGGTTTTGTTTTGGTTTGTTGTTGTTGTTGCTATCGTTGTCATTTTCCATTATTTTTGGGAGATCTCCTTTTCAGGACATTAGGTTTTATAGTCTGGGTTGGCAACTAAACACAATTTCCACTGAATTTAGGAAGAGTTACA